ACTCTTCAAAGAGGAGGGAAGTGGTATTCAAAGCACAGCTTCATATCAGATGGATTCTGCTAATTCCTGTTTTATCAGAGTCACTGTGGTTACAGCTGCTAATGAAACACTGTGGGAGGATTCACATGAGCAGCAAATCCACATCAACCACAAATCAACTGCAGGAACGTTCAAGGACAAAGACATTAAGGAATACAGTCAAACAGCAAAAGCTATATTTGATAAACAAATGTATCAGATTTAGCATATTTAAAATGTGCCTAATTTTGTGCTTAATGGTGTGCAAATCTTAATCAGAAAGAAAGTTATTGGAGTAAAATCAGAGTCAGATAAGCAGTGGCTGCAAAAGTTGAAGCTTTTGTGGAAACTCCTTCAGAAGCAGCAAATCATTTTGCTGCCGTCCTTTCATAATTGTTATTCCGTGTCTGAGATGTTAAAATGATACCACAGTCAATATCTGGCCTTCATCAACTTGTTGGGGTGAGATGTTTAAGCTTGTGTTTGTCAGTTTAATTCATTGTTATCTATATCTATATTATATATATCTATATATCTTTGTCTAAATCTATGCAGTATTCCCTCCATTATTGTGGAGGTTTCGTTCTGGGAACCCCAACAATAGGTTAAAATCCAAAAAGAAGAATCGACATGTTTATTCTGATATTTTTATATATTTTCAGCCATAAAAACCTTCCCCTCTTATAAACCCGTTCTTCTCTTTTAAACACACTTTGAGACGCATCCTTACATACTGAGTGAAAAGTTATCGTCTGAGTCCACCTGAGACAACCAATGCAACAAGTTGGTGAGGGGAGGAAGACACAATAAAGAAATGCTGTTGAAGAGAGCCGGAGAATAATAATAACTAATGATTAAAATGGAGACAGTTATCTAAACTCATAGTGAGTGAATAAGAAACACACCAGCAGCCCAGACCTGCTTAAAAGCTGAACAGTTTTAAGCAGCTCATAACTGCAGAGAGGGATGCTGGATGAAATGACGTCACAGCTCTGCTAGGTCCAAACCTCGTCCATGATTAGCATCTGCACAACAACTTCATGGCATAAATAGATATTTTTTATTGACATATTGTCTGATGCTGAAATTTATTGGGATCTATTTCCATTGTTTACCTGACAACATCATACTTTATATTCTACCACAGCTGTTTTTTTTAATATATTAAATATTTCTGAAGAAGCTCAGCTCGAAGGTGACATAATCTGGGAATACTTTTTGGCCCAAAGTGGAAGACAAATGGGGGGGGGGGGAGAGATCCCTGTATTTTTAACTCCAGTGACCCTCCCACCTCACAGGGTTTCAAGTTTGCAAACCACAGGAGGAGGAGTGACTGAGAGCAGAGAGGAGGAGCAGAGATTCAGGGAGGAGCTGAGCTGTTACTGAACTATAGAAGAGAGAAAAACCTCCACATTCAACAGAGTTCAACACAAAACAAACTTTATGTTCCTCAACATGCTGTCATTACATCACTGTGTGTTTCCTCTGATTCTTCTCACTCTCACAGGTCTGCTCACCTACACAGGAAACTATGTTCAACTCAAATGATTCATTAACGTCCCCACATTTAATACTGTCATCTCATCTTTCAGGTGTGGGCTGTGAAGACCTCACTCCATCCAAAGATGAAGAGTCCAGTGTAGAAGGCAGCACAGTTACTCTGACCTACACTTACTCTAAAGGTGCTGCTAATTATTTCTTCTGGTATCGACAACATCCAGGAAAAGCACCTGAGCTCCTGATCTCACACTCACCTTCAGGATCAGTAGGAGAAGAAAAAACTCCTGGACTGAAGATTCAAGTGGAGGGAGAAGAAATCAAGATGAGCATCTCCTCTGCTGCAGTGTCTGACTCTGCTGTGTACTACTGTGCTGTGAGGCCCACAGTGACAGGAAACAGCAAAACTCTGTACAAAAACCTTTGGAGCAAAGACAACAGAATACTCCACAACATCCACTAGAGGGAGCCACACACCTTTGTTAGGATACAGAATCATAACACAGCTGTGATGAAGAGCTTCAGGGGAAGTGAATGAGATGTGAGCCTCCTCCTCCTGACTGCAGAAACCTGTCTGACTCCAGCTGTGAACATCAGACCAATCACAGCAAACTCGCAGTAAACTGATGTGGATTTCATCCTGACATATACACCTGTATACACTAGAGACGTAATCGTAGTTACTTGGATAAATTGTGTGTAATGATATATACTCATATATATATGCTTGCTCCCAATGAAGTGTTTATATGGGGGAGTGACTGCATGAAGCATTTAACCTGCATGTTCAAATCACATGACCCATATATTAAGGGTAAATATATCTACCATTTATTAGTGAAGAACTAAGATAAGATAGAACTTTATTAATCCCTCGGGTGGGTTCCTCTGGGAAATTTGGTTTCCAAAAGCACAGCACCGACAGAAGTTACAGAGTTACAGAATATTATATATATACACATATATAAATACAGAGACAAATATAAATAGAATAAATAGGAATAAAAATAAAAAATAAAAATAAAAATACAAGTGAATTGCAAATTTCGAGTATGGAGTCTATTGCACTGTTGACTATTAACAAAGGTATTGCACAGTGAGGTGCAGAGGCACTACAGCTTAGTTGTTCCCCCCTCCTTTGTCCTCCTGTTTCCCCTCCCTCTCCCCTCCAGAGAGGAGTTAAACAGTCTGATGGCGTGTGGGACAAAGGAGTTTTTAAGTCTGTTAGTTCTTGTCTTGGGGAGAAGCAACCTGTCACTGAACAGACTCTTCTGGTTGTTAATGGCCGTGTGCAGAGGATGCCCAGCATTGTTCATAATGTCCATCAGTTTCTTTAATGTCCTTTTCTCTGCCACTGTCACCAGAGTGTCCAGCTTCATGCCGACCACAGAGCTAGCCCTCCTGATCAGTTTCTCCAGCCTGGATGAGTCCCTCTTTGCTGTGCTGCTCCCCCAGCACACCACAGCATAGAAAAGTACTCCAGCAACCACCGACTGGTAAAACATCCTCAGGAGCTTCCTGCAGATGTTAAAAGACCTCAGCCTCCTGAGGAAGTACAGTCGGCTTTGGGCTTTTTTATACAGGTGCTCTGTGTTGCATGACCAGTCCAGTTTATTGTCCACCCACAGCCCGAGGTACTTGTACTTGTTGACCACCTCCACCTCCTCCCCCTCTATCTGAACCGGCAGTGGACCTTCTCTGGACCTCCCGAAGTCCACAACCAGTTCCTTAGTCTTTGAGGTGTTGAGTTGCAGGTGGTTTGTGTGACTCCATGCGACAAAGTTCCTCACCAGACTTCTGTACTCCTCTTCCTGATCATCCCAGATACACCCCATGATGGCTGTGTCATCTGCAAACTTCTGAATATGGCATAATTCAGAGTTGTAGCAGAAGTCAGAGATGTACAGGGTGAAGAGAAGAGGGGACAGCACAGTTCCCTGTGGTGCTCCTGTGCTGCTGACCACAGTGTCAGACGTGATGTCCTTCAGCCTGACGTACTGTGGTCTGTCGGTGAGGTAGTCGGAGATCCAAGCCACCAGGCAGGGGTCCACCTCCATCCTGTTCAGTTTTTCCTGAAGCATACAGGGCCGGATGGTATTAAAGGCACTGGAAAAGTCAAGAAACAGGATCCTGACCGTGCCTTTTCCCCCATCCAGGTGTGAGTGGGCTCTGTGTAGGAGGTACAGGATGGCATCCTCCACTCTGACATCTGCCTTGTATCCAAACTGTAGTGGGTCCTGGGCATGTTGTACCTGTGGTTGGAGGAGGTTGAGGAAGAGCCGCTCTAGAGTCTTCATAAGAATTTGTGCCATTTGTTATATGAACACATGTTGATCAATACTGTTTGAAAATGTAACCATGAGGATCAGTAAGAAACCTTTGATAGTGTTATGGTCCAACAAAACTGTTGAATAGATTAACTGATTAACTGCCTTTCTGTAGACATTCAGACTCACTTTGGCCATGAAACTGCCAAAATCAGAAAAACTATTTGTATTGTTTAAACTTACCTTACCTACCTGTCTTCCAGAAACAAAAGGAGGAAACGTAGTTTTACTTCCTGCTTTATAGCTTCTGGGTTCATCTGAGGTCACAGGATGAGACCAAGTGCAGAAGGGGAAGACTTTGTGTAATTTAATCAAGTTGATTTTAGAGGGTTTATGGAGAAATAGATTTATTGCATAATATGCATTGATTACACCAGTAAAGAGTAGCAGTACAGGTTTGAATGTGATGTTCATCTACTGAGTGAAATAGTCCAGAGAAGAAATAGTTTGGTTAAGTGGACGATTTAAGCAGAAAACTCGGGCGTTTGAGGAGAAAGGACCAGGTCAGTGTAGCTGTGTGCACTTTGACCTTAATATTCTGTTGAGTTAAGTTTATTTGAACTGAGTTAATTATGAAGTTGAGTTTCTTATTTGTTTATGTAAATATTGTTTGGGTCACAAAATGGTGAATAAATCAGTTGCTACACTGGACAGCATCAGTCTCCTGCACTTCTTTGGTCACTTGAGTCAAGTCCTCCCACATGGTGCCATATAAATTATACTGAATATAGTGTTTTCTACCAAGCATTCATACTACAACGGAGGCATCAGGGAGCAACCTGGGGTTAGTATCATACTCAGGAATATTTGGCATTCAAACTGGAGCAGCCAGGAACTGAACCACCAACCTTCCACAAACAAGTGAATCACCTCCCCGTCTGAGCTGACGTTCTCAGATAAAATGTTGATGTCACCTCTGCAGGTCGCAGACAAGTGGCTGCCAGAAATAGAGAAGTTTTACTATTTGGGGTCTTGTGAGGGGAAAACAACTTCTAAAAGAAGAAAACTCCTCTACCAGATCTTCTGAAGGTGATTTCATCAAAGACAAGATCTCCACTGAAAGCAGCAGAAAGACGTGCTGAGTGTGAAGCTGTCAGCAGGGGGAATAACACAGGGCTGTGAATGAGTCCTGTCACTGTGATCAGGCTCCTCCTTCTAATCCACCAACTTAGTGTTGATGAAGACTAAACAGAGAGATCACAGCTTCTTTATACTTGCTGTAGCTCACAGTTACTCTACACTGCAGATATGACGCCTCTGTTCATCTCAGTGCTGCTGGCTGCTATGTGCCTCGGTATGAACACAACTCTGTTTCTTTGATATCAACATTGACGTGATTCTTTAACAGCACACTGATACTGTTTGTTGGTGTTTTACAGAATGCAGAGCACAAAAAGACAACGTGCTGCAAGCAAAAGGAGAAGAGACTGCTGCTGCAGGAGGCACAGTGACACTTCACTGTCTCTATAACAGCAGTACAACAACTAATTATCTCTTCTGGTACAAACAGGATGGAAACAACAGCCCCAAATTCATCCTGAGTCGCTTTAAAGTTGGTGAGGGGAAAAACGAGGCTGGAGACAGATTTTCATCCACACTGGATTCCAGCATCAGATCAGTTCCTCTGAAGATCCAGAAGCTTCAGCTGTCTGACTCTGCTGTGTACTACTGTGCTCTGCAGCCCACAGTGACAGGAAACAGCAAAACTCTGTACAAAAACCTTTGGAGCAAAGACAACAGAATACTCCACAACATCCACTAGAGGGAGCCACACACTGTTAAACCTCTGATTCTTGTGTCATTGGACTGATGACAAAGACAACAGAGAAATGAAGCAGTAAAGATCAGAGACAGAGACAGAGCTGCTGTGGAAGCACAAAACTATTTGATTGGCTCAGCTATTAAACTGGCCCCGCCCACTGAACCTGAGCTCATCCAATGACATTATTTGTTGGTCATTGTGCTGCAGTGGAAGAACATTGTTCATGTGCTGTCTGTCTGGCTTTAATAACTCCAAAGACATGTTGCTGCACCTCTTTTTGCTTCTATCTCACATTATAGGTGAGTTTAAGAACAGGGATTAAAGTTTAGTTGAAGCTGCTGCATTAAGCAGATATACAGACTGCATTTCACTACTTTTCTTCTTTCTTTTTCCAGGACTAACAGCTGGAGACTCAATCACTCCTCAACAACCTGAAGTCACTGAAACAGAAGGACAATCTGTCAAACTCACATGTAGCTATGAGACAGATGCAGGTGTTGCTTTACTTCACTGGTACAGACATGATTCTGACCTTCAGGCTCCTCAGTTTATACTCTGGAAACAAGGAAAAGGAGGCAGTGCTGAATATATTCCTGATAATCGATATAAATCAGAAACATCTTCTACATCAACTAATCTGACCATAACAGCCCTAACCCTGGCAGACACAGCTCTCTACTACTGTGCTCTACAAACACAGTGATACAAAGTGTAGAAGAGGCTGTACAAAAACCTGAACACAGATATCTGACTACTCTTCAAAGAGGAGGGAAGTGGTATTCAAAGCACAGCTTCATATCAGATGGATTCTGCTAATTCCTGTTTTATCAGAGTCACTGTGGTTACAGCTGCTAATGAAACACTGTGGGAGGATTCACATGAGCAGCAAATCCACATCAACCACAAACCAACTGCAGGAACGTTCAGACACAATAAAAACTGTCAAACATCAAAAGCTGCTCATTTACACTATTTTATATTTAGTGGATGAGGACATGCAGAAATGCAGCAGAAGCAAAATAAACAGAGTAACAGAGGTTTATCTCTTTAAGGTAAAATCTCTCACATGAAGCTAAAAGTCCAACCAGGAAGACCATCTCATGCTTGTTCCATTTATTCTCTTTGAACTCATCACATCAGATGATGATGCTCTCCTTCATCATTGTCCTGCTCTGGTACTTTGTGATGTTCCCCCTCTGGCAGGTCCAGACTCTCCTCTGTGCTTCTGCTCTGAACAACATTTCAGAGGGCCTGGCCTTCTTGAGGTCTCTGAGCAGGATCCTGGACGCTGCATCATCTGGTAACTCTATTGTGCTTCTGAGGACTTTATGTGTCCGAGTGACACAATGGTGGTTTCTGTTTTACTGGACTTGTGTGCTAACCACAGTATAGGTTATGCTTGACTCTGTAATTGCATCATCAGGTCTGCAGCAGTGTGTTCTGGACACTCTGGTGAAGAGAGGAGCTGAGCTGTCATCTGATCACCATCTGGGGGTGAGTTGAGTCAGGTGGTGGGGGAGAATGCTGGACAGGCCTGGCGTATCAAAGTGGTTCAGGTGATCTTCAACTCCCACCTCCAGCAGAGCTTTGGCAGCAGTCTGAGTGAGGCTGGGGACTCATTGCTGATGGGGCTTTGCAGAGCTTTGGCTGCAAGCTGGTTGGTGCTTGTAGTGTTGCTAACCTCCTAACCAGATCTCATTAACTCCTCGTGTTTTGGGGAATGAAAGGTCCAGCTGAAACATCCACTCTTTGTCAGATTGTTGTCTTCATTCTGGTGGTAATTCAGCTTTAATTTATGACTTATGAGTTTGTGCTTGTAGCTTCTGTTACCTCACCATGTTCTCTTGTGTCTGCTCATAGCTCTGTGGACTTGAGTTACCTGAAACCTGAAGGATTCTCTCATTGCCTGCTGTTTGGAAAGGACTGACTTGTAACAGAGCTGGAAAACTCACCTGGAAAACTCACCTGCCCATCCACTCTCCACCCACTCAGCCTTCTGAAGCCTTCACTTACCTCCCTGACACAGAAACTCCAAAAGTGAAACACAAGAAAGGACTCTAATAAATACTATATAAGCAATTCTGACTGCACTGATACTCAGCAGTCATTCTCTCGGGCAGTTCTGTGGTGTCTCCCTGCTCTGTCCCTCTGCAGGAAACCTACTTACCTGCCCCCCTGTCTTTGAACCTTCTCAAAATAAAAGCATGTAAAGCTTTAGCCTCATGTGGGCTGCGTTAGAGTCGATGCATTCCTGTAATCATGACACTGAGAGGTTGCTCCAGGGATTTAAATCATGTATTAATCCAGACCCTCCCAAAGTGTGAGGCCCGCCCCCTGGGGCAAAGCAGGAGATGAAGCATCGCTGAATATGTTTCTAAACCAACTTCATTCAAAGACTAGAAAATATGGTGAAGCAAATCTTCCCTTTGGTTTCACCTGCACAGGTGCCGAGGTAGGTCTCCCTGCAGGATTAGTTTCCCTGCATCGAGAGCAGCGCTGGGCTCTCCAAATCACAGACAGGATCCCACAGCTGTTTATGTTTTTAAACCCATTTTGCATTTTTTGAAAAATGTATTGATGCAATGTTGAATATTATTACACAGGACAAAAAACAACTACATGTAAAATAATGACACCGTGACGCCTCTGCCTTTGTAAATGGAGGGACAGTAACTGCTGTAAAACCTGCAGACAGTCAGATTAACAGCATTGTGTCTCTATCATTCTGCAATTCATCTCATGTAAACAATAACGTGGCCACAGCGTGACGTGGAAAAAGGCTCATACCTTTAAAAAAAAAAATCTCAGTTTTCGGTGATTCGAAACGTCGTTTACGTGGACGAAACAGCTGCGTGTTCAAAAATAGGACGCAGTAGGTGCGGACGTAGCGTAACAGAGTTAGTAGTTTATTTTATTACTACCTGTAATTTATTGCAGATTACTTGTATTTGCTTAATTGTTTACTAAATGTTTGAGGTGTGAAAGAAACCGCAATGGAGCAAAATATGGGCGCGTGTGGTTGGAGGATGTGTTTGTACGTGTGCGCGCGAGAAGGGGTGGGGGGGGCGCAAACATTTTTCTTGTAAAACAGAGGGGGGCCCAGTAAAAACAGTTTGGGAACCACTGTATTTATCGTAGTGGAGAGAAATTAATATGAATATTTCCTGTGTGAAGATGATGGTGTGATATCAGGGCTGCCACATGAAGGGGCAACGTGAACAAGTTTATGAATACCTCAGAAAAAAAGCTTCAATGAGTATAAATGATCTTCTGATATTAACGATATCCTGGAACACCAACAGAGCAAACCCACAGAGATGCTCCACTGGAGGGCGACATCATCCAGTAGGCGGGGCTCTCCTTCTGCACTGTGTTCAACCATTGTGTCAATAATAAGTGCTGCTGTGAAGAGAACAATTCTCAGACTGAATGTTGAACATCAGCTAGTTTCTCCTGTTGATTTAAACCTTGTTGTACAGATGGAACATTGGCTGTGGATTATTCTTGCTGCTCTTTTCTTTGGTGAGATACAAACATCAACATGTTTCCTCTGCTTAAATAAATGTGTGAGTCTGATTAATGGTGAGTTTTTAATCATGTTTATTGATCCATCTCTTCCTCTGCATGTTCTGTTCTTCCTCAGAGTGTAAAGGAGAAGACAAAGTGATCCAGGAACAAGGAGATGTCATTGCTGCTGAAGGAGACACAGTTACACTTGGATGTCAGTATGAGAGCAGTGTAACAAATAATTATCTCTTCTGGTACAAACAGGATGGAAACAACAGCCCCAAATTCATTCTGAGTCGTGTTAGTGGGGATGATGGAAACACAGTAGACGAGTTCAAGGAGAGATTTTCATCCACACTGGATTCCAGCATCAGATCAGTTCCTCTGAAGATCCAGAAGCTTCAGCTGTCTGACTCTGCTGTGTACTACTGTGCTGTGAGGCCCACAGTGACAGGAAACAGCAAAACTCTGTACAAAAACCTTTGGAGCAAAGACAACAGAATACTCCACAACATCCACTAGAGGGCGCCACACACTGTTAAACCTCTGATTCTTGTGTCATTGGACTGATGACAAAGACAACAGAGAAATGAAGCAGTAAAGATCAGAGACAGAGACAGAGCTGCTGTGGAAGCACAAAACTATTTGATTGGCTCAGCTATTAAACTGGCCCCGCCCACTGAACCTGAGCTCATCCAATGACATTATTTGTTGGTCATTGTGCTGCAGTGGAAGAACATTGTTCATGTGCTGTCTGTCTGGCTTTAATAACTCCAAAGACATGTTGCTGCACCTCTTTTTGCTTCTATCTCACATTATAGGTGAGTTTAAGAACAGGGATTAAAGTTTAGTTGAAGCTGCTGCATTAAGCAGATATACAGACTGCATTTCACTACTTTTCTTCTTTCTTTTTCCAGGACTAACAGCTGGAGACTCAATCACTCCTCAACAACCTGAAGTCACTGAAACAGAAGGAGAATCTGTCAAACTCACATGTAGCTATGAGACAAGTTATACACATCCAGAGCTTCACTGGTACAGACATCATTCTGACCTTCAGGCTCCTCAGTTTATACTCTGGAAAGGAGCCAAAGACTACAGTGGTTCTCAATATATTCCTGATAAACGTTATAAATCAGAAACATCAGATCGATCAACTAATCTGACCATAGCAGCCCTAACCCTGGCAGACACAGCTCTCTACTACTGTGCTCTAGAAACACAGTGATACAAAGTGTAGAAGAGGCTGTACAAAAACCTGAACACAGATATCTGACTACTCTTCAAAGAGGAGGGAAGTGGTATTCAAAGCACAGCTTCATATCAGATGGATTCTGCTAATTCCTGTTTTATCAGAGTCACTGTGGTTACAGCTGCTAATGAAACACTGTGGGAGGATTCACATGAGCAGCAAATCCACATCAACCACA